GAACAGAGCTGCCCAAATACATATAATGCAAGCCATGTAAATTGTTTTACATTTTCTAGCAGGCACGTTACAAAAAATACAAACAGAGAAGGTGAAATTAATTTGAGACAGAAATTTGATTATCAATTCATCAGAAATATTATAATTTCAATATGCAATAAGGATAAATATAATAATAATTATTATAATTATTTGGAGACAGGATTTTGCACTGTTGCCCAGGCTGGAGTACAATGGTGTGATCATGGATCACTGCAGCCTCAATCTCCTAGGCTCAAGCAATCCTCCTGCCTCGGCCTCCCAAGTAGATAGGACTACAGGTGTGCACCACCACACTAGGCTAATAAAAATTATTTATGAGGTATTTTACATTATTTTTCATACTGGATGCCTCAAATTTAGTGTATATTTTTATGCTTGAAATCATACATCAGTTCAGACTAGCCACATTTCAAACGCTCAGCAGCCACGTGTGGCTACCGTGACAACTGTGTTGAAGAGTGCAACGTTAGAATGGGGGGGGGGGTGAGGCCGGGCGCAAAGGCTCATGCCTGAAATCCCAGCACTTTGGGAGGCTGAGGCGAGTGGATCACCTGAGGTCAGAAGTTTGAGGCCAGCCTGGCTGAAAGGGTGAAACCCTGTTTCTACTAAAAATACAAAAATTAACCAGGCGTGGTGGCAGGTGCCTGTAATCCCAGCTATTTGGGAGGCTGGTGCAGGAGAATCACTTGAACCTAGGAGGCAGAGGTTGCAGTGGGCTGAGACTGCGCCATTGCACTTCAACCTGTGCAACAAGAGGGAAACTCCATCTTGAAAAACAAAAATAAAAAAAAGAGGTATACAGGGGATATTAGACAAACAGAAGAGGTGAAGACAGGCACACAGAGGAGAGGGTAATGTAAAGACAGAGCAGGATGGAGTGAAGTGGCCACAAGCCAGGGAAGCCAAGGAATGCTGGCAGCCTCTAGAAGCTGCACGAGGCAAGGAAGCACTCCCCTCTGAAGCCTCTAGATGGAATGTGGCCCTGCTGACACTTTGACTTACAGTTTCTGGCCTCCAGAATTATGAGAGAATAAATTTTTGTATTGCTAGCCACTCCGTTTTGATGTGTGAGTGTGTGTGTGTGTGTGTGTGTGTGTGTTTATGTGCAAATATATGTGTGTGTATATTATATATGTGTGTGTGTTTATATATATGTGCATATATATGTGTGTGTGTGTGTGTATTATATATATATGTGGAGTTTCCCTCTTGTTGCCCAGGTTGGAGTGCAATGGTGCAGTCTCAGCCCACTGCAACCTCTGCCTCCTGGGTTCAAGTGATTCTCCTGCATCAGCCTCCCACATAGCTGGGATTATAGGCACCTGCCACCATGCCTGGCTAATTTTTGTATATATATATATATATATATATATATATATATATATACACACACACACACACACACACATATATAATACACACACACAAATACACACACACACACACACACATATATATATAACACACACACAAAAATACACACACACACACACACACACACACACATTTTTTGAGATGGAGTCTCACTCTGTCACCTGGGCTAGAGTGCAGTGGCAGGATCTTGGCTCACTGCAACCTCTGCCTCCTGGGTTCAAGTGATTCTCCTGCCTCAGCCTCCTGAGTAGCTGGGACTACAGGCATGCACCACCATGCCCAACTAATTTTTTGTTTTGTAGTAGAGACAGGGCGTTAGCCAGGTTGATCCTGATCTCCTGACCTCCTTATCTGCCTGCCTCGGTCTCCCAAAGTGCTGGGATTACAGGCAAGAGCCACTGTGCCTGGCCTTTTTTTTTGTTAGAATTTTTTATGGCAGCCACAGGTCTGTAATGAAGAGAACTTGGATGCCATTCCCTGCCAGGGCAACGTGCCTGCTCACTGCCTCTGAAATCTTTCAAGTGGCCAGCATTCACTCCTTCCTGAACAGAGTGGGCCTGGGGGGCTCTGGTGACACGGAGGGCACATTCCCAATCTACAGGGAGCCACTGTCCTGCAGCTCCAGGTGGCACCATGCCATGTTGTCCTAATCTTTTGCCTGAGCTACTCAGCTGACCTCTTCACCACTCTTCTGCCTCCACTCTTTCTCCCCTACAATAGAATTTGCAAGTAGTAGCTAGCGTAAGGGTAAGCTTTTAAAAAGAAAACACTGTAAGTCATATCAGGCCACTCCTCAGTTTCCAACCCTCCAATGGCTTCCATTCACTGGAGTGAAATCCAAACTCATCACATTTACAAGGCCTTTTGGGCCCTGCTACCTCCCTGACCTCATCTCATAAGTCCTCTCCCCTCTCTGTTCATCCAACCACTGAGGCCTTCTCACTGTTTCTCCAACACACGTAGTATGATCTTCCCCCAGGCTCTTTGCGTTTGCTGTTTTCTCTGTCTGGAACCTCTTGATAATCCCCTGGCTCACTCTCTTACTTTATTCAGGCCTTGCTCAGATGTCCCCATATTATAAAGGTTTTCCCTATGGTCTTTATAATAATGCTTTATTTTTCTTTAGAAACATTCTATTATACACCACCTGGTATGGATTTGTTAGTTGGTTAGGTTACTACACCCCCTTTCCCATTTAAGCTCCATGAAGACAGGGACCTTTGTCTGGTTTATTTAACAGTATCTGGAACAGCACATAATAGGTGCTCAGTAAGCATTTGTTGACTGAAAGACCAAATGTATGAATGAGTGCAGGAAGGCAGGCTCCATTTAGTTATATTTTTTATTCCTAGAGAAGTCAGAATCTGGATATTTAGGTAAAGTTCTATGACATGTGAACTAAAAAAATAAAAAAATAAAACATACTGGGTTAGCCTAAAAAAAAAAAATAGAGTATCTGGAGACACCAGTTTGAGACCCCTGACCTACAGGAATCTGGGTTCTATGGGAACCACATTTCTCATACTCAGTTGGTGCAACGTCTTCAGGAACCAAGTGGCTCTTCTCCATCTACAGCCCTTGTGTCCCCAGGCCCTGGCGCCATGAGGTACTGTTTGTTGTTACAGACCAAAGTCATTCAGGGCACTTCATTCAAAAGGCAGGATGTGGGCTGTGAGCTTCCAGCTCATCAGTTCAAAGGAAATCTACTTCAGCAGCAATGTCTCCTGGGATGTTTTCCCAAGCCTCCCTGGGAGGTGGTGGGGCCTCTTAAAGGACTAATAATAGACAGGCACATCCAGTTTTCCAAACACGTCAACCTTAAAAGTGAATGCTATTTTTTCCTCCTTACCTTTGGATTACTATGTAGGAGAGGGACATTCTATTATTGCAGCCCTTACTCTCAACATGCTACCTAATAATGACTTACCACTCAGCAGCTTCCAGGCAAAACTATGATAGTGGGACCTGAGCTCTTGCAACTCCAGCTCGCCCTCCTTCATCCACCACTACTCAGGTTCACCCCTTTGTCACCAGGATGCTTTGTAGTCAGGCCTGCCCAATCACCATTCAGCAATGGTGTGACCGTGGGTGTGTCTTAATCACTCTGAACCTCTCTATCCTTATCCATAATGAAAGTTACCAGACCTACATAGGGTGGTTGCGGGGGCTAAATAAGACAGCACAAGTACCTGACGCCCATCAATCACTCGATATTTATTATTAAACGCCTCCTGGGTGTGAGTGGGAGTAAGGAGTGCTGTCCTTTAAGTCTTCATTCATTCATTCGTTCATCTATGCACTCAATCAACTAATATTTATTGGGCTCTTAGGAAGTGTCAGGCACTGAGCTTGGTGCTGGGCAACATGGTGGTGAACAGCCCCTTGCTCTCACAGAGCCTAGGTCTGGTGAAGCAGCTCACGGTCTAATGAAGCTCTGTGTTCCCAGAGTGGGGGACATGGTGGCAGTGGGTGTGTTTAGGCCTCGTGCATGAACAGGGTGCTAAATAACACTGAATTACCCATGTAGACAATTATTACCCTTTCAGTTAGCTTCAGATCCCATCAAGGAGAGAGTCCCAGTTGGATATTAATGTCTTTAACCCCCTTCTAACATTTGTTAATTTCCTCTCTTAGCAAATAAAAGATGACTTCAGTTGAAGATGCTTTGGACAGATGACCGCACCTGGAGATATTTTAATAATATAGATACCTCTTGCTATTCAAACTCAAATAGATAAAAAGAGATAGGCTCTTTTCCCCCAAGTTGGTGCACAAATATGACCAGAATTTGTGAATACGGGTCAGAAATGAATGAAATTTGGAGAAATATTGATCTACTGAAATCCTTCCTCCCCACGCAATTAGCCCTATTTTACAGTTGGGGAAACGGAGACCCTTTGCAGAGGGGATGGACACAAGGTAGGGAGTTCTCTTCCAAACGTGCAGGCGGCAAGCAAAGCCAACAATCTTCTTTGTGGTGGAGTTAGAGATATATAACATAAGAACGCTCCTCCCCTACCTCTGCAGAACGTGTGTGTTTACGCGTGTGTAAGTGTGTGCGGCCACAAGCCTTTCCGAATGAGTGACAGCGGGAGCCCATCCCTCCAGGAGACGCGTGCAGAATGACCAATGGGGTGGATGGGGGTGGATGGGTACCAGTCTCCGCAGAGGCCGGAGTGGAATTCGCTGCGCCCCACCCCTTGCACTCCCTCCCCTTCGCCCCGTAGGTCCTTACACTCTCGCTCCTCCCGGGGGCACCCAAGGGGCTCATCTCCTGAACGCGGCCCCCAGAGGCCGAGGACGGGGTGGGGTGAGGGGAGAGGCTCGGGTTTGGCGACCCCGGGCCACGGGCCCCGCGCTGCAGCGCTGCGGCTGTGCACGCTTCGCTGCGAGGCCCGCGGCCGCCCCGGCGCTGATATGTAAAGCAGCTGGCGGCGCTGGGCGGGGCCTGGGCGCGATGCAAATGAGGAGGGCGGGCCCGTCCAGGGGCTCCGCCTCCCTCCCCCGCAGCTGGGGCCAGCGGTGCCAAGCGCAGCTGGACGAGCGGCAGCAGCTGGGCGAGTGACAGCTCCGGCTCCGCGCGCCGCGGCCGCCAGAGCCGGCGCAGGGGAAGCGCCCGGGGCCCCGGGTGCAGCAGCGGCCGCCGCCTCCCGCGCCTCCCCGGCCCGCAGCCCGCAGCCCGCGGTCCCGCGGCCCCGGGGCCGGTACCTCTCCGGCTCCGGCTCCCCGCGCGCAAGATGGCTGACCCGGCTGCGGGGCCGCCGCCGAGTGAGGGTGAGGAGAGCACCGTGCGCTTCGCCCGCAAAGGCGCCCTCCGGCAGAAGAATGTGCACGAGGTCAAGAACCACAAATTCACCGCCCGCTTCTTCAAGCAGCCCACCTTCTGCAGCCACTGCACCGACTTCATCTGGTGAGCGCGCGCTCAGGACACCTTCCCCGGCCCCCGAGGGCAGCGCCGCTCCGGGGACCCCCTCTCCGAGCCCTCTGCGCCTGCCGCGCCCCGGGACCCCGCGTAGCCGGACTCCCCGCTCCGGATCCTGCTGCCGAGGACTCCGGGAGGGACGGTCCTGCGGGTGCCCTGTCCCCACCCCGGTCCCAGACGGGCCGCCGTGGGGCACCTCCTGCCCTCTCCTGCTCCCAGGCACCTCCAGAGCGCCCAGGAGCAGCGTCGCGGGCGCCTTTGCTCCACCTGACTAGAAGCGCGCGGGGTCTGTGCCTGCCCTGGAGGGCAGCGCCTCGGGTGCTCTCCGGCCTGGGGTTCCCTGTCTCTCCTCCTGCTTCCGGGCGCGAGGAGCCCTAGCCCCCACCCCTTGTTTCCGGGGGGCAGGGCCCTGGGTGTCCTTCTCTATCTCCCTGCGGGCATGGGACATCCTTTCCCTCTCTTCTGTGCCTCCAGGGAGCGCCCTGTGTTATCTCCCACTGAGCCTCCCCGAGGGCCTGGGTTCCCCTTTCCACTCCTCGATCCTCCCCTTTCACATCACTAAGGGTCCCCTTTTCCCCCAGCCCCTCCAGTCGTGGGGCGTCCTTTCTCCTTCCCAGTTCCCCACCCAGGGGACACCAACGCCGCGGGGTCACTCTTGCCCTCACTCTGAATGCGTCTTCATCTCTTCTCTTCCTCCGAGGGTGTTCGGGGCATCTACGGGCAGATCTCCCGCCTGCCTTCAGCCCCTACCCTGACGGAAACGGTTCCCCCTATCCCGCCACCTGGTGGTCGCAGCCTTCTCTCTTCTGCAGAGTGAGGGGAGATGGGGGCTACAGCCGAGCTGCCACCTACCCTCACAAAGGCGGAAGAGTCTTGGGCACCCGCCTGTGGCTGCGAGGTTGCACCTGGGGTATAGCGGCGGGGAGGAAGGGGAGTGACTCTGTGGGGAACTAGCTGGAGGCTGGGCCCCCCGGGCTTTCTGACATACACCTCCTTCTGCTTTTGCAGGGGCTTCGGGAAGCAGGGATTCCAGTGCCAAGGTAGGCTCTGGGGCTTTGGGAGTGCTATTTGTGGGAAGAGAGGGCGAAAAAGCCTTTATGGAAGAAGTGACTGAGTTAGGCAGAGAGTGAAAGAATCACGTTGGTCAGAGTGACCTCCCAGGCTAGGAATTCTTCACCACAACAGGGTCCTTTTAAGGGGTGTGTGTGTGTGTTATTGGGGCCTATGGAGCTGGGAGACTTACAGGGTAAGGAAGTGCACCTACCCTTCCGCCTTTCCCAGCTCTGGAAGAGTCAAAGCTGTCACCTGAAGAGATCCTGACATGATCAGTTCTGCTGGGGGAGAAAGTGTCTTCACGGGATGCTTCTGGGAGAACCTGTCTTCAGTTCCTCCTCCTTTCTCTGCCCGTGTCCCTTCCTTATCACACCCAGGGAGGTTCTGTCTCTCCCTGCCTTGCAGAGGTCTCTGCAGGTGGCTGCTGCTCCTCTGCAGATGGTGCATCCCCTAGAAAGGTGACTGTGTTTGTTCCACGGGCCTCTCTCTCTGAAAGAAGTAGTTACACATGGGGTGCCTCTCAGATCCTGGTTTAAACCACACTCTCTATCTTCTGGGTAGAAACACAAAGGTCTCCAGGGCACTGGTTACCTGAGTTCCTGCATCTGGCTTGAGATCTTGGACTCTAACCAGGGTTATCAAACCCGCTGGTGGTGGCTTGAGACTTGATTCCCCACACTGCTGTCTTTGGGGCTCATGTCTAAAAGACAGATTGCAAATTGGCGCTCCAGGACCAAATGTCACCTGCAGCTCTGTGTAGCCCTTAGGGCGTCTTAAACATTTTGTGAATTTGATGTCAACATTTTAGGCCTGGGAGATTTCACATATACATCCTAATTTCCAACTTTAACTTTGTTGAGAAATGGTCTCACTTTTGTGTGCAAACAATCGTTTGGAGCTGAGAGCCGTTGTCATAGATGGGGCACAGCCTTACCATTTTGGCTCAGTTGATCCCAGTTAGGACCACTTCACCCATTTTTGGCCCCTGTAGGCTTTTAAATTTGCAACCTCTGATTTGGAAAGTTTGTGTGTGCATGGTTTTCTTTCTTTTTAAATTTAAATTTTCACTCTTAGGCTTGGCGAGATTGAGTTTGGTAAGAAACAGCACATTCCTGGGGTGTTGCATCTTTAGGGGTAAACTGACCACCACCTTGGTGAGCTGGGTTTAAATCAAAAGAAGTGTTTGGGTGTGGAAGTCTGACATGTGATTTAGCACTGACTGACAGTTTGGTGGCTGCATCTCCACCCTCCAGGGAAAAGTAAAGTGATCCCCAGTGAGTGTAGGCAGCAATGTCAGTGGTGCAGAATGTTCGCTTGCTGGCAGCATTGCACTGTGCTCCTCTGAGACTTACGGTTACTCTTTTGCGATTAGGGCCTCAGTGGGTTCAGTGAGCCCTGCCAACCTACCCAGCCTCTCTTACCAAGATTTGGATCTTCCACACCGCACCAGAGGACTCCTCAAGTCTCTTTAAGTGGCAAGAACTTAGGCCCTGGTGCAAACAAGTTTGGATTGTTTTCTTGAACTTTGACCCCTCAAACAAAACGCCAATGGTGTCTTGGTGCTGGAATGTGTAATTTCTTCTCTGAGGTTGCCTTTCATTTGCATGAATCAGTTTCAGTCTGTCTCTTGCTGAGGCCGGGGGCGATTTTTGAACATTTTACCACGGCTCTTCTGTGACCACCTGCTCTGCTGTTATTAATGGATGGGAAAGGCACTTTGGAATGTGCAAAGCATGACACATCTGAAATAGGAGATCCTTTAACTCAAAGTCTGGAAGATAACAGAAATTTTTTGGTGTTATGAGAAAAAGGCAGAATTAAAGTTTGTAATGATATATAGCCGCCTTAGAGATAGGAGTGTCTTTTTTTGTTTGTTTGTTTAAAGACAGGTTCGCACTCTGTTGCCCAGGCTGGAGTACAGTGGTATGATCAGAGTTCACTGCAGCCTCAAACTCATGGGCTCAGGTGATCCTCCCGCATCAGCCTCCTGAGTAGCTGGGACTACAAATGCACACCACCGCGCCTGTCAAATTAAAAACAAAACAAAACAAAACAAAACAAAACAAAAAACTTGTAACAAAGGGGCCTTGTGATGTTGCCTAGTCTGGTCTTGAACTCCTAGCTTCAGGCAGTCTTCCCACCTCAGCCTCCCAGTCTTGGGTTTACAGTTGTGAACCACTATACCCCTCTAGACTGTCTATTTTAAAAATTTTCTTTTTCTGCTCCCTCCCTGTCTCCCCACTAAGAGGCAGCGTAGAGAAGTGGGCATGTGCACAGGCTACCAGGCAAGTCCCTGTCAGGCTGAATCCTGGCTTTGAGACTTCCCAGGCATATCACCTAGCCTGTCTGTATTTCAGCCTCGTTGCCTATAAAGTAGGGTCAATAACAGTACCTTAGTGTTGCTGAGCAGCTGCAACTCATTGCAATATCCAAGATGCTTGGACGAGAGCTTGGCACAGAGTAAGCTCAGAAAATACCAGCTCCTATGATTGTCCCCAGACTACCCCAATGGTGGGGCAGCTGGCACGAGAAAAGACTGGCTCTGCAGGGTTGCTTTGCTATGGGACTGGCTGCCAGGTAAGAGTCAAAATTCAGCCATGAACATCTGGTCACTCTGTGTGGCTGCTTTGACGGCATATTCCGTTTGGGCAGGAGGAGGGAGGAGGGAGGGGAAGGGCAGGTTGGCAGTCCCTGAAATTAAGATGTTTAGAATGGGGGCATATAGGAAGGAGGGAAATTTATCCCTGGCACTGCATTGCCTGGGACTAATTCTGGAACTATAGAGGAGTTTCTTAGTATCTGATTGTTCTTGGTACCAGATATTTCCTCTGAAAGTGAATCCACTTACAATGGAATCAACAGTTCATACAAAACACATAAGGTTTTATGATCTCACTTAAGTCAGCAATCCAGAGCCCAGAGCCTCAGGTTCATTTCAGCTTTCTGCTCCACTCCCTGGGGAGTTACAGTTGTCTCATGGTCCAAGAAGGATGCTAGACTGCAATCCTCACGCCCTTCCTTCAGCTAACAGGAAGGAGGAAAGGTGTAAAGAAGGGCAAGTAGAACATGCTCGGTGTCACTTGTGGGAGTTGCCCAAGATCCTTCTACCTATATCTTATTAGCTAGGGTTTAACCATATACCCACTTCTTGCTGCAAGGGAGCATGTGGGAAATGTAGTGTTTATTTCAGGCAGCCACTATTTAGGGGATATTTTCATTTCAAAACTATAAGCAGAGAGAGGATATTGTTTCTACCACTCTGGTAGGAAATGTGTAGGATGATCGCAAGGCAAAGAAACCATTGAGAGTTACCTTCATGGCCTGTTATATTGTCATGGAAATTGGGGACACTGCTATGGGTTGGGAGAGGAAGGATGGAAAGCCCATAAACCATGAGAAATTATGGATTTCTGTGTGCTCAGGGGAGCTTAAGAATAGATTTTCTTGCTTTTGTAAGGTGGTAGGACAAACCTCTAGGTTGACTGCCACATGATTTCTCCCTTTTTGTTTCCACTCTGTCTATTTCTTACAAAACCACTCTCTGGGAGGCAATTTAAGAATGTATTTGATGACAGGGAACCGGGGCTGAAGATCCCTCTTGTGAAATTGGCTAAATTCTAGAGTAGAGGCGGAACTCCTTTGACAAGCAAGGCAGATTTCTCTCTATGGCATTTGGAGTGCAGTGGCACCATTTGGACTCAGCGTAACCTCCATCTCTCTGGGTTCAAGTGATTCTTCTGCCTCAGCCTACTGAGTAGCTGGGATTACAGCCACCCACCACCATGCCTGGCTAATTTTTGTATTTTTAGTAGCAATGGGGTTTCAGCATGTTGGCCAGACTGGTCTCGAACTCCTCAACTCAGGAGATCCACGCGCCTTGGCCTCCCGAAGTGCTGGGATTATAGGTGTGAGCCACTGTGCTGGCTGTCTCTATGACATTCTTTACAGGAACTTAGGACTTGCATTTGAGCTTTAATTGTAATTAATTGTAGAATGAGACTCTCACTCTAAGAAGACTTTATATATAGTTTGGTAGAGAGAAACACTTTATTGCTTTATTTTTTATTTTGTTTTTAGGGACAGAATCTCACTGTGTGGTCCAGCCTGGAGGGCAGTGGCATGATCATAGCTTACTGAAGCCTCAAATTCCTGGGCTCAAGCAATTCTCCTGCCTGAGTCTCCTGAGTAACTGGGACTGCTGATGTGTGTCACCATGCCCATTTTTTTTTTTTTTTTTTTTTTTTTTTTTTTTTTTTGAGGTGGAGTCTTACTTTGTCACTCTGGCTGGAGTGCAGTGGTGTGATCTGAGCTCACTGCAAACTCCACTTCCCAGGTTCAAGCAATTCTCGTGCTTCAGCCTCTCAAGTAGCTGGGACTACAGGCATGAGCCACCATGCTCGATTAATTTTTATATTTTTAGTAGAGGTGGGGTTTCATCATGTTGGTTAGGCTGGTCTCAAACTCCTGACCTCAGGTGATCCACCCCTCTCAGCCTCCCACAGTGCTAGGATTACAGGTGTGACTACTGAGCCTGGCCAAATATATATTTTTAAATTATTTATTTATTTATTTATTTATTTTTGTAGAGATAGCAGGTCTTGCTTTGCTGCCTGTGGCCTGGTCTTGAACTCCTGGCCTCAAGCCAGGAGTCAAATTCTGCTTTGGCCTCCAAAGTGTTTTTTTGTTTGTTTGTTTTTGTGAAGAAAGTGACTTTGGTAGAAATAGAGAGGCAATAAAATACAGAGATTCAGAATTCATAGCAAGGAGTTGGAGTCCAGTAAAACTGGGTATGAATCTCTGATCTGCCACTCACTCCCTGTGTGACCTTGGGCAAGTCATCTCCAAGTAGCAACCTTGGGCTCCTCGTCTGTAAAATGGGGATAATAGTACCTAACTCATAGAGTTACGGTAAAGGTGGTACATGAGAAGTATCCACATTAAGTATCAATGACGCTAAGTGAGACCATCAGTATTACTGGATTAGCTG